TTCTAGACCACATAAAGTAGTTAACTCCCTTGAGAGTAACTGGAATCACCACAGTTTTGGTGTTTTCCATAAGAAAAAGTGACAGAGAATGAAACAAGAGATCGAGAATAGAGAAAAAGAACTAGAGAATAAAACACAAGAATTTTAAAGAATATAGAGATCAACACTCTGATACCATGTTGAGATTTGCGGAATAGTATTGAAAATAAGAAAGAGGAGTAGAACAAAGAAGAAAAAGTTTTCTCATTAGGTTCTCAACAGTTGGCGGCTACAAGGTATTTAAAGAGAGAGACAAGAAAAATCTAATACATATGGGTCGCCTGTTGGACTTACATAAAAACCTTATAAAAGCTTTTAAAATCTTCTAAAGACTTATAATACCTTCTAAAGTCTTATAAAGTCCTTGCTGAATATGGATCACGCTTTATAGGATGTTTGTGTAACCAATGGAAAGAGAAATGCAATGAAATGTGATTGGAGTTGTGGGCTCAGTGGATTCCCATGTGTGTAAATTGTTTGTATGCTTGTAGATATGTTACTTGTTTACCTCTCGTTTGGAATATTAGAAATAAATGGATAAATGTGGTGAATGTGATGTTAATTTTTTACTGAGTAATCCTTAATTAATCACCCATTTTTTTCAGGTCTGTTTGATGATGATAAGTATGAGGAAAGTAGTTCGAAGTGGTGTGCCATTTTGGAAATTTTCTTTGGTTTTATTTGGATTTTGGTTACTTATTTTAAAGATATTATTCGTATTTTGTTTTGTTTTTATTTAAAGAATTAAGTTATAATTTTTAATTTATAAGACATTGGATTTAGAAATGGTATAAGAAGTTTTTTTTTTTTTGTCGTCCTTATTATTAACAGAAAGGTTAAAGTACAGAGTTCCAAGATATTACAAGGTTTAAAATTTTAGTTCTAGCATCCTTAGCAAGCCTATCAGCAACATAGTTAACAGTACGTGGAATTTGAAGAAAACTTATGACACTTTTTCCATGAGCAAGATTATTGAAATCTTGTAAATAAGTAGATAGCAAGGAATGACTCCTTCTTTTTGGACCATCAGCTATTGAAGATGTTGCAAGCGATTGGAATAGATTTGAGGCATCTCCACAAAACATGATGTTCTTGTATCCTAGCCTCAAAGTATGAATCATTGCCATCCTCAAAGCTTCAGCTTCTGTTTCCAGTGGTATAAGGGAAGGTTTGATTGCTGTTTGTCCTCTAAGAACCATTTGGCCATTCTTCTTATATAAAACCCAACCTACGCCTGCACATTGATTTGGAGAAACCCATGAACCATCCGTTAGACAACAGTAGTCAGTGGTCCTATTAAGCACGTCTTGAAATGTTTTCACTTGGTTCACATTCCGTTCCGAAGCGTTAGAATTAACATGAATCAACTGAGATTGAGACTGATTAAGCCGGGCAGCCTCATTCCAAAGTTGATAATCAAGTAGAGCCTTATTGACAATATCTGGAATTGACCATGTCTTATTATTGAAAATAAGATCATTTCTCGCTTTCCAGATTCTCCAACCAAGGAAAGGGAATAAACTAACGTCCTTTCTATGGCTAGCGTTTAGACTCTGCATTGATTCTAGATTTTGAACGAAGGAGTTATTAAGAAAAGAGTCACCTGATGGAGTTGGTAATGGAGCCTGTTCCCAGACTTCTTGACTGACACGACATTGGAATAAAAGATGGTTAAGGCTCTCTGTTTCTTCTCCACACCTTTGACAAGTATCATCTACAATCATCTTTCGCTTCTTCAGATTTTCTGCATGAGGTAAAGCATTGTGTAATGACCTCCACCAAAAATGTTTGAGTTTGGATGGAATATTTAGTTTCCAAATTTTATCGAATAACATTGGGGAAATGGTTCTTGCAGGTTGTGAACCATTATCAAATGGGGAAGATAACTTACGTAGCAGGTGGTATCCTGATCGAACCGAGTAATTTCCATCTTTTGTATAAGTCCAACTTATAGAATCCTTAGCATCTGTAGTAGAAGGGCGTATACCAGTAATGTAAGAGACATCTTGAGAATTAAAAAGCCGATGCAAAAGCTGGACGTTCCAACAACCCTGATCAAGTAGTTCACTAACTTTCATTTGGGGTTGTATTTGATTATTAGGTCTTAATGCTGGACGAGATGGATTTACGGGGATCCAAGGATCGTACCAGACATTTATCTCCTTTCCATTCCCAACTATATATTTTATACCATGTGAAAGGAGTTTCGTACCTTGGTAAATGCTCTTCCATGCATAGCTGGATTGAGTTGTAAGATCCGCTGCTAGTAGAGAAGTCTTTGGATAATACATTGCTTTATATACTCTAGCTAGAAGGGATGATGGTTGTTGTAATAGACGCCAACTCTGCTTCGCCAGCAATGCTACATTAAAATCTTTTAAATCTCGAATTCCAAGACCCCCTAACTGCTTAGGTTCATTGATTTTTCTCCAGGCTACCCAAGGAATCTTTTGTTTGTCTCTGTTGCTAGACCACCATAGTCTTCGCATAGCACTTGTGATTTGATTAAGCAGCCTTGATGGTAGCAAGAAGCAAGACATACAGTAAGATGGAAGAGCTGTTACGACAGCCCTAATAAGGACTTCTTTCCCTGCAGAAGAGAGAAATTTAGTATACCAACTTTCCATCTTTTGAGAAACTCTCTGAGCCAGGTAAGAAAAAGCATTTGTTTTATTTCGGCCAATAAATTCGGGTAAGCCAAGATAACGTCCAAACCCACCAATTTTAGTTATCCCCAATATTTCGCTAAGATGCTGTTGGTCACTATGATTAATACCTTTTCCAAAAGTAAGTGCTGACTTTTGAAAGTTAACAGCTTGACCAGAGGCACTTGCATACACCCGAAGAATATTGAGGAGAGATGTACATTCTTGCGACGTAGCCTTACAGAACAGCAGCGAATCATCTGCAAATAATAAATGTGAGATTGCAGGACCACTTCTGCTTGCTCTAAATCCATGTAACTTATTTTCTTTAATGCTTTTCTGGATTAAAGCAGATAAACCTTCAGTGCACAATAAATATAAGTATGGTGAGATTGGATCACCTTGTCGAATACCTCTACGAGGTATTATCTTGCCCACCGGTTGACCATTGACTAACACTGAGTATGTAACAGTAGTAATACACCTCATAATCCAGTTGCACCAGGTTTCACAAAATCCCATTTGCCTCATAACAGCTGCAATATAATCACATTCTATTTTATCAAAAGCTTTACTAATATCCAACTTAGCAGCCATAAAAGGTTGAAACCTCTTTCGAGTACGAAGAGAATGAATAAGCTCATGCGCAATAAGGAAATTATCAGTAATCAATCTACCAGGAATGAAAGCAGATTGATTAGGTGATATAATTTGATTCAACCATGGCTTAAGCCTTTCTGCTAATACTTTTGATAAAATTTTGTATGCTACGTTAGCTAGACTTATGGGCCGATAGTCCTTAACTTCAGTGGGATTTTCTATCTTAGGTATTAAACAGATGTGCGTGTGATTAAGAGCTGGATCAAGAATATTATTCTGGAAGAAAGCTTGAGCAAACTTAAACACACCTGTTTTAATTGTAGCCCAATGATCTTGATAGAAACCTGGGTTTAGGCCATCTGGACCAGGAGCCTTCTCTCTTGCCATTTGATGAGCTGCTCGATATAGCTCCTGTTCTGTAATAGGTCTGGTAAGATCCGAGTTTATTTCTGGGGTAACTCGTTGCCTAATTTCTTTCACCACCACATCAATATTTCTGGAAGATTCAGAACGAAACAGAGAAGTAAAGTAGTCAATAATCACATGATTAATTTCATTGTCTGAATACCAAACTTTCCCAGATGCATCTGTGATTGTAGTTATTCGATTAAAGCTTCTTCTCTGTTTAGTTTTTTTAAGGAAATACCTTGTATTCCTGTCCCCAGCTTGTAGCCATTGGATTCTGCTCTTCGTCTTCCAATATTCTTCCTCTGTATTCAGCAGATAATTTAGCTTTAAGAGATTTAATATGAACAAAATCTAGAGGGATAGTATTATACGCTTGGTTGAGAAGAGACTTTAGTTCATGAATCTTCTTGGCTGAGTTATGTATATTGTGAGTTTTCCAGCGAGAAAGACATGATCTGCATCGTTTCAAAGCGACATGAAACTTTTCCCCTGGGAGATGCTGACAGGTATAATTCCAGTGCTTTTGCAATTCTTCCTTAAGCTCTGAACTAAATCTCCACCTATTATCATAACGAAAAAGTGGGAAACCCTTCCATCTTCGATCTCCTGTATTCAGTAGTAGTGGTTTATGGTCAGACCCAATCCAATCAAAAAGTTGTACATACGCTTTAGAGAAAACATCCAACCACTCTGCTGAAGCAACAGCTCTATCGATTCTTGTTTGTATAGAATAATTATGTCTCTTACCATACCATGTATATTTACCTCCGATTGTTTTGATATCATGAAGTCCAGATGAGATCAGCATCTGCCGGAAAACTTTGAACGAAGCCTCAGATCGAGTTGGTCCTCCTAGTTTCTCATCATTACTCTTAATATCATTGAGATCACCCAACACAACTCGAGGTTTACTTTGATAAAACCCAGCAGCTGCCCAATCCGCCATTCGTTTCCACATCTTATGTCTATGTTGCTGATCCGGGTCTCCATACACATATGTAAGGCAAAAAGTAGAACTACCCGGTTCCGAGAGATGGATATCAGTATAGTTGAGCGTTGGGGTGTTGACAAAGTCTAGCTGTACATTGTCATTCCAAAAGATTGCCATTCCTCCACTCAAACCTTCCGATGGAAGTACAAAACTGTGAGGAAAACCGAGGTCTTTACACAGCTTGGAAACATACTTATAGCCGTTTTTAGTTTCAATGAGGAACACGACATCCGGTTTAGAAGACTTCCGAATGTCTTTAAGGTATGGAATTGTCAAGGGGTTCCTCTTAAGCCCCTGACAATTCTAGTGCAAAAGTCTCATGGCTCTTCTGGTGGTTTTAAGGCAACCACCAAGCCTGTTGCATCAGTTTCTTCTGAGATTCGCTGTCTATGAGAAGGACTGGCTTCATCAATTGGAGGATCTTCAGCTTTACGCTTAGTACCTGACTCTTGTCCAGATGTAGAGCCCGCTTCAACTATAGCTCCTGGTTGACCGAATAGTGTAACTGCAGGCTGAACTCTGATGTGATTTAACAGAGGAGGGACAACATCATGGAAATATTCTGTTGTATGTATCTCCTCAATCGGCTCATCATATTCATTAAGATCTTGCTGTGGTTCATGTAACTCTTGCCCCTCCACCTGCTGGTCGATATCCTGGTTTACATCAGGCTGCTCTTGTGGTGGTTCTAGCTCAGGTATCGGAGCCAGAGGACAGTTTGCTTCATCATGAGTAAGGCGCCCACATGTACTACAAAACTTCTTAAGCCTCTGATACTCAAATCTAAGTAGAACTGGAGGACCCCCTTCTTCAAGTTGGACATGTCGAACGAAGTAGAAGGGTTCATAAGCATTAAATTTAACTCGGACCCAAACTTCAGATGGAGAATCTCGGGTTGGCTCCACAAGTCTAGATCCTTCGTATTGTCCCATTCTACGACTGATATCTTCCACCACACGTTGATTGCGATACTCATCAGGAAGATTAAAAATTTGAATCCAAAAGGATATGGTTTGTAGGTAATTAGGGTATAATCTCCTATACCATGGATCCATAACAACCATCCAGTCCTTAAACGACCATGGGCCTCTCTCGATTACAGATAGAAGATGATGTTCTGCATCAAAAATAAACCTGATAGTACCATCATCATTGAGTTGCCCTCGAACACGGTCATGGAGTCTCCAAGCTCTTGGAAGGGTATTTCGCATCCATGTCAAATTCTGTTGAGTCGGATTAAGCCCACGCACTACCAGACTTAAGCGATTTTCATTTGCTTGTCTTTGGCGAGTATCAGTGGACAGCTGTAGAGGTTGGAGAGCGGAACCCAGGTCCAGATGTTGAAATTGAAGCCACAAGTCACGATCCATAGCTTAGAAACAAACAGAAATTGAGAAAATTGAAGTGAAAACCGATCGATCGGAGTTGAAATCGCACTCGGCGAAGTTAAAACCCTAGTCGCACTTTTGGTCGCACTTTCGGGAGAGTTCTTTTTTTGTATAGCATACACGTTTAACATAAATGGACGATTTTATAAGAAGTATTATTTAAAAATGCAGTTTATAGTACTGTAACGAAAAAATGAAAATTCTATTAGAGAGGAGACAAATACTGTTTATCCTTACACATAAATGGTGATCTTTAATTATAATAGCCGAATCCATCAGCTAAAACAACTATAAAGTGCAAAGTGACTAATTCTTTGAACATAACAAGAAGAATGGCTTCCAACCAATGTGTTGCTTGCAATGTTTTGAAATGCACTTGTACTTTATAATGTATCTTCATCATAATATTTTTTACAGAATTAACAACCCAACAAGATTTGAAAATGTTCACAGTATATTTAGAACTAAAACGTCTACAAAATTTGAAGTAATCAACCACCATTACAATTTTTATGTTGTGATGGTGGTGGTTACTCAAATTTTGTAGACGTATTAAATTCATAAATAAACATTTTCAAATTTTGTAGGGTTGGTCATTCTAACAAGATATGATACAAAGATACATTGTAAAATACAATAACTTTTAACATATTGGAATCAACATATTGGTTGGAAACCATTCCTCTTTATGAATTTTGTAGGTGTTTTATGTGATCAATTCAGTTGTTATTCTTAAACATCTCCGATTATGTGTAATCATAAACCATATATTTCGATTCTTACATCTAAAAGAGGGCTCAATTTTTGCAAATTATATTTCATAAAGTTTTTTATGTAATGTATGCTTTTCAAAACTTCTAATATATATAATATAATACACAAATTACTATTCGGCTGTGAAATAAAAAACGACAGAAAAATCACATCTAGAATTATCAAATAAAACTTTATAACGAACTACTATATTGAAATATAATCATGTTATCCCCGACGAGAATTTCAAAAATTTTGTTTCATAAAAGAAATAAATAAATGCAACAGATGTTATTAATGTCATTAACTGGGATAAAAAAAAATGCAGCAAACTTATTCCTAAGAATGAGAAGAAAGTTTTTCGAATCTCAAAAATTGCCTTCATGAACCAAAGAACGAACTTTCCATTAACATCACAATAAGCCACACAATATCAAAACATAAATCAAGGGAAGAGTTTTGTAAGATTGCGCTGCCACGAATCGTGTCCTCACCTTAGCTGAATTTAGAAGATTTGAAGACTCTGAAATTCTCATGCATTTTTAGTCGAGAATTCCTGCGATCCTCCTTGTTCGATTTCCTTCTGGAACCTCTCTCCTTAAAGCCAATGATCCCTCATTTCCTCTTTTGTTTCTCTCTAAGGTTCTCTTTTTCTGAGTAGTGCGAAACGAGAGCTTTAAGTCCCTTTATATAGGATTTATGGACTTGCTCACCAAGTTGGACACTTAATATTGTTTTCCTTATTCGGCTCATTCTTATCTTTTCCACTTAATAGTTAATATTGACTAATCCTCTGCAAAACATTCCATATCTAATTTCCTGCTGACCCGAATTTATTTATTAAGTTTCTGCTTCTTTAATCTACCAAACCGGTCTTAATTGGACCACACATTTTCACGAGTAGTCAATCATTTCTTAAGTGACAATGCATATCTATTATTTCCATTTTAAAACTTAACTTTCACCGAAAATCCAACTTCTTTATTAACGACTTTAAGAGTTATTATATTCAACAGAAAAACTCCTCATATTCATTTCACTGAAATAAAATTATTTTGGAAGCAGGTAGGTACACGTTCCCCAAATTCCTTGATCCTCCTTGTTCGTTCCTTCTGGAACCTCTCTCTATAAAGCCAATGATTCCTCATTTCATCTTTTGTTTCTCTCTAAGGTTCACTTTTCTGAGTTGTGTGAAACAAGAGTTTTAAATCCCTTTATATAGGATTTATGAACTTACTCACCAAGTTAAACACTTAATGTTATTTTTCTTATTTGGCTCATTCTTATCTTTTCCATTTTTTTTTGTTCAAACCATTCCATATAGGAATTTTTCATTACTTAGACATCCATATTACAACTAGAGGGAATTTTACATCCTCTTTGGCAAAGACAATACAAATTAAAACATTAAAACTTGAAACAGATAGAAATTGATCAAATGACACCGAATTCAAAACAAAGTTCAAATGAGTCGATATGATCTTCACGGCGTAAGCCGGAGTGTTTTGAATTTGTCACTTTGTATTGTGACGTTAAGATTGAATTTCTACCTTTGAAATTCGGTGAAACGAACCTGTTTGCCTCTTCTTATCCCGTACAGATCGCTACGCAAGAAGACAAAATGGTAGAGAAATTCATAAGATTGCCCGGAAAAAAGCTCGGGAGGAAGACACTTCTCGAAGAGAGTGAATGTGATGGGGGATGACTGAACCGAAAAAGTATGGGCTCGGAACACTTAACTTCAATAATTAAGCAGCAAGCATGTTGGCACGGAGGCGGAGACAGCTGGTACCGGTAGCTGAACCAAAGTGGAAGAAGGGCGGCAATGCAAATCAAAGGAGACGCACCTTGATGCAACGTGGAGGAGATGAGTCCCAACAAATCCAAAGGCGTACAAAAAATATGCTTACCAATGTTTGGATAACAATTACTTGATTGGGTTCGGAGACTTGCTCCACGATGAAAGCCTTGGCTCGGACGAAGAAGCCTGAAGTTTCTGTAACCAGAGAAACACCGGAAGATACCGTCATTAAAACAGCATCGGGATGAGCAGAAAGTCTTAAAATGCAGACCATCGACGGAATTAAAGCCTTCAATGGATTTGACCATGATACCCGACACAAATCAGAGCTAGAAAGCACTCATAATTCTCAAAATTTGAGATTTCTGGCGAAGAGAAAATCTTCTCAACCGAGATCTTCACTGAAAGAGCCCATGGTTTCTCCAAGACTTCTTCGAATCTTCCTGGGATTAACCGAAGAGTTCCTCAACGAGATCGACGGTAGGTCTGGTGGAGATAGTGGCAGGAGACAAATCAATCGAGCAGAGACGACCAATTGCTTCAGCGGAGGACCCCTTGAGAGCTTTGCAGAGGCATTATGTCCTCGTAAGTGCCTGAGATAGCTTAGAGGAAAACCCTGTGAAAATAATGGCAGATCTGGAGAGAGTGAAGGTTTACGTTTGTCAGGAGGTTTGAGATGGTCTGGCGAAGATAGACTAATGACGGCGAGAGAAGGCATATCCGCGGCAAAGAGCAGTGACGAACCGGCGGGTGGCAGATCAGAGCAATGATGAACCAGCAACGAGATAGGCAGCAGAAAACAGAGCAAGAGAAAAAACAGAGACATCAAGAGTTACGTCGACCTTAATCCCACGACCAAAGGCCGGAAATAAGATCGACTCAATCCAAGAGAGAAGTGGTCACTGGGGAATAACCGGCAGAGGCAGCAGCGGTTGAAACCAAGGAAATCAGAGAAAAACTTTGGATGCGGCGCGTTGGGAATCGGGCCTGGGAGAAAACTTATTTTTTACTTATCTTTTCCATTTAATATTGACTAATCATCTGCAAGACATTCCATATCAAATTTTCTGTTAACCTGAATTTTTTTATTAAGTTCGCTCTTCTTTAGTTTACCAAACCTGTCTTAATTGGACCCCGCATTTCCTCGAGTTGTCAGTCATTCTTTAAGTAATAATGCGTATCTATTATACCCATTTTAAATCTTAACATTTACCAAAAATCGAACTTCTTTATTAACGACTTTAAGAGTTTATCTTCAACAGAAAACTCCTCATATTCATTCCACTGCAATAAAATTATTCTGGGAGCAGGTAGATACACGTTCCCCAAATGGTAAATTTTAAATATTATATTACCATTTTTTTATTCATACAAAATCTGAGAAAAAGGTGATTATGATTTTAGTTAGTTCAATAGATTTTTTATTGAAAGAAATATTAAATCATTCCTCATACAGTATTTTCTTTTTTACGACAAAACATATTTTATTAATTAGAATGTAAATAGTTATCATACAAAGTGTTTGTTAGCCAACATGATGAATAATTACAACCCGAGAAAAATATATCATTTAATGGTCCCTTTTTAGCCAACAGATGAGCTGCACTGTTTGCATTTCGTTTTACATGATTGAAAGTACTGGAATTGAATTTTTTAACCCACAACTTGATATCTTCCATTAAATTGAGCATTGAAATATCTTCAACTGATTTGTGAATCATGTTCACTAAAATCTTGCAGTCTCCTTCAAAACAGAGCGAATCATAACCCATAGCCCATGTATTTTGTAAAGCAACCAAAAGAGACTTTGCCTCCGCCTCCAAACTTGAATTTGCAAAACCAACGCTTGCAGCTCCCCAATACTTTGCATTTCCACGATGGTCTCGTAAAATCCAACCACATTTCGTTCTTCTTGTGACAGAATTATATGCGGCATCATAGTTGCATTTGAGCATATTAACCACAGGTCGAATCCATGAAGAAGTTGAAACTTGTATTTGGTTTACTTGTCCGCCGGTTTCTCTTGCTTTGTGCATGTGATCAACTATCGAACATCAGCCGAGGCATAGTCCACATCCCTAATTGGTTTAACTCGCCTTTTATTAAAGATCAGATCGTTTCGTGATTTTCAAATACGCCACATAAACCAAAAGGGAAGTAATTTTTTATGCTCGGTTAAATTGTTATTCCCTTGTAAATCTACAATCCGCTTTATATTCTCTTCAACATCATCCGAAGATGAAAAGAGAAAAGTGTAAGGGAGTTTCGATAATCTCCATGTAGAAACAGAGATAGGACAAGTAAAGAGCATGTGGTTAATTGTTTCAGGTTCCATACAACATCTTTGACAAGTATCATCTATACAGATGCCTCGTGTAGTTAATCGTTTTGCAGTACCAATGGCTTTTGATAAGATCCGCCATAGATA